CCTCTTCACAAGGCGTTGGGAGTGGAACCGTCGCATGATCAAGGTTGGAATGGTACTATCGTTGTCAAGGATTTTTGCTTTTTTCGCTCGTTTGGATAGTGGCCAAACAATGCCGCCCCCCCCCCCCTACCTTCTCAACTGGACTTTGCTTTCGCCATTTGATTGTGCGTGTGTGTGTGCGTCGAGCTGTGTGTGTGTGTGTGTGTGTGTGTGAATGTGTGTGTGTGTGTGTGTGTGTGTGTGTGTGTGTGTGTGTGTGTGTGTGTGTTGCTTGTGTCGCTGTTTCATAACCTTACCTTGGACATGGCTGGTTCTGCTTCATTTTTGAATTCACGCTTGGACAGAAAGACACACAAGCATGCAAGCATGCCGCACAAGAACGCGGCCACAGAAGCACATGCAAAGCACGCCCACGAACGGCAAATCACATCAGCATCATTCGAGCTGTCTCCAGTCAAGGGCCTGGATAAACTCTTCTTCCGTAAACGCCAGCGCGCGCGCCGCTTCAAGGTGCACCTTCTGTCGCTTCAACACATCCACCAGCCGCAGCGCCTTCTCAAACGCCTCCAGCACCTCGTTCCTCTGCACAGTGTGCGTGTATGTATGTTTGTATGTATGTTTGTATGTATGTGTGCGTGTGTATGTGTGTCATGGGTGAACAACAAGAGGAAAGCAGTGGTGGTGTAGCATGAGCGTGTGATGACACGGAAAACCACGCACACACGCACACACGCACACACGCACACACGCACACACGCACACACACACAAAACACCTGTTTCCGCAGCTGCTTGATTTCGTCCTCCAGTGCCTTCAAATCTGCATCGCTCGCTTGTGCAGGTCGCTCCTTCAGTTTCTGAAAGGGCGAGGGGGGGAGGCAGGCATTTCACACGCGTGTATGAATGTGTGCGCGTGTGTACGTATGTCAGGCGTTGGAATCGAAGAGTCTTGGGCTGTTCATTTGGCGATACGGCAGCAAACAACGCAGCACGCAAAAGCGGGATCGCAACAAACCTGCAGCTGCAACTTGAGGTTGTCTCTCTCCTCCAATGCACGGTTCAATCGAACTTCCAAGCCCTGATTCCCGGCAGACTCCTGGCAGATCACATAACAACACACATGCACATACCAACGATCAGCCCGTCCACCGTGACCGTACAATAAAGCGCAAGGTATCCATCCATCCATCACCACACACACACACACACAACAACGCTCACCGATACACAGACATACATTCGCATGCAAACAAACGCACACGCCACAAACATCCACACATACACGTGCAACACAGTGCAGACCTGTTTTGCCTTGCGCTTCATGGCGTCCACCTCCGCCTGCAAGTCTTTCGCACGCTCCTTCTCCCGCTCGTACTTGCCCGTCATATCATCCAGCAGCCCTGTGGTGTACGTGTGTGTGTGTGTGTGTGTGTGTGTGTGTGTGTGTGTGTGTGTGTGTGTGGAGGAGGAGGAGGAGGAGGAGGAGGAGGAGGAGGAGGAGGAGGAGAGGATGTTGGCTTGAGCTGAGATCCGAGCAGGTGAGCAGACACGCGGGCATGTAGACATGCGCTGACAGCCGCACACAGAGGCACAAAGCCGGCTCACGTTTCATCTGGTTTGCCGATCGCTGCGCCGCTTGTGCGCTCTTCTTTTCCTTTGTCGCCTCCTTTGACGTGTCCTTGTGCCTGGCAATGGGGGGGGGGGGGGTGCACGCATATTCATATGAGTACGTGTACAAGCATACATGTATGGGTGCGGTGTGGTTGTGGACTGATTGCACAAATGCACGCAAACATACACACCCAACGAACCAACACACCCATGCACACACGCCATAGCATGCATGCACGACAGGTGCGCGCACTGTGATTTGAGGGACTGCAGCTCGTTCTTGACCGCTTTCAACTCCTCTGTTGCCGCGTCCATTTGCTCCTGTAGAGTGCGTGCGCGTGCGTGCGTGCGTGTGTGTGTGTGATTGAAAGAAATTGAAGATGAGACTCGATGCACGCTATGGTAAAAGGGCGAGGATCAAGTCGAGTGGCAGTAGATGCATCAAGCAAAGCAACCCCCCCCCACACAGACATCGTGTTCCACATCCATCCATGTGTGTGTGTGTGTGTGTGTGTGTGTGTGTGTGTGTGTGTGTGTGTGTGTGTGTGTGTGTGTGTGTGTGTGTGTGTGTGTGTGTGTGTGTGTGTGTGTGTGTGTGTGTGTGTGTGTGTTGTACGCACCATGGTGACTTTGAGCTTTGCCTTGAGGACACGAACAGCCGCCTCATCGCCCAACTCCCCGGCGTCCACCGCCTGCAGCAGCGGGTCTCCGCGCGTGAACTCGTCACCGCCTACAGAGCCCACGCTGCGCGCCAGTGCGCCGGCTGTGCGCGGGCGTCGTGATGACGGCCCGGCTGTTGCTGTTGTCGCGGTGGTGGTCTTGAACTTGGATGGCGACCGGCGGGCTGCAACTCCGCGCGACGCAGAGGCAGTGGGACGACCTGATGTGTGTGTGTGTGTGTGTGTGTGTGTGTGTGTGTGTGTGTGTGTGTGTGTGTGTGTGTTGAACGGTCGAAGGTAGGAGCGGGTGTGCCACACAATATCATCATACACACGTATGCATATACACACACAAACACAAGTTTGAGCAATGGCTCACCGGCTGACGTGTAGGGTCGTGTTTTCTTGTCCCTGCACACAATGCCAGAGCATCAC